TCATTAATGCAATGCAGATGAATGAAAGGTTACATGAAGGCCAAGGTGTTGAAAATAACAAAAACCAGAGAGAAAGCAGTAGAGTTGTGGAACAAAGTCCTGTGGATTGAACCAAAATTTTAAATCTCTATCAAAATGACAGAAAGAAGAAAGAGTAAGAAGAAAGGATCAACTCATGACCCGAAGCAACACCTCATCTGTCAAATATGGTGGTGCTTCTGTTACTGAGTGTGTATGGTTTGCTGGTGGAACCTGACATTTATTGATGATTTCAGTGCCGGTGGAAGAAACACGAATGCAGTGGTGCAGGAGACTTCTGTGTGCTCAGACTGAACCAAATGCAACAAAACTCAGTGCATGATATCATCAGTAATGGTTGCAAATATAAGCCCAGTGTAACCAAAGAGGTTAATTTAAGAATGAAGACAAGCAATATCATCAAGTGATCTAGTCAGAAAACATGATTAAATTTATAACAATCAGTAGATAACCATCATTTTACAATCTACTTTTACTGAACCGCTAACCCTGTAGAGCCACAAAGGTTGAGGGATGAATATTTGTGGTGTGGACTGTGTTACCAGATGAGTTACCGAGTGCCAAGTAACATGGAAGAAAAACTTTCATTCTTAGATCGCTTTCACTGTCGCCAGAGTTTCACCGTGACCTTTGAGTTAATATCATTTCCTGCTGTTCCTCCATCTAGACTCAGCCCAGAACCCGCAATCACTTTTCACTGAGCTCTTGACCATGCTGAGATCAAACTGAACCGCAGCTGGCCTTTAAAGCAACATAGTGGTCAGCAAAGTGGGTAATTGTTGTCTCATCCATCCTCAGAGTTCTAAAACTATCATAACGGTCCATAAGCCAAATCACTGCTGAATGAAATCAGGTGATGCATGTGATAAACAGAGGCGAGTAAATAAAAGCAGCACTGGATTTTTATTCCTTTGACAGTTGCATTTAACTTTGTATTAGCTAAAGTTAAAATTTTGCTATGTGTGTTGCCCTCGTTTGTTAGTGAAGTCTCGTCTCATGGAGAAAACCAGCGGGTGCTTCGTAATGATATGGAGGAAACTTCTCAGTCACAAGGTAGGCCTGCTCAAAAACATCCCCTATTTTATCCTCTTTTGTTTACTCTAATGTTGGACACAACAAAATTAAAATGACTTCTACGGCGTATTCAATAAAATTTCAAATTATGAAATCATATCAGGAATGTATTTACTGAGGTCATACAGCAAAAGATTCTATGTAGACTGACCTCTATTTGAACCAGAGGAGTCAACCTCTCCAGGCCATTAGAAAGAATGCAAGTTTAAGGCAGTCCTGCATTGGCTTCATTTTTCAGTCCCAGAAGCTATGTCCATCTTTTTTCATACTGCCTATGGTTGAATGGAATGTATTTAATGTGTTTGTTGAAAACTGCTGTTCACTAAGTTTCTGCAGCTCTTAAATTAGTGACAATCCTCTGTAGCTTTGTCACCTCTTTCAAAGTCTTTTGCATATGAATAATTTTACTTACTGGTCCAAAGTGAATTGAAATCTTATGAAAACAAAATTCAAAACTGTTCTTCAAATTTTCATTTTTAAAAAAGTGATGCGTTTACTGTCACAGAATCTAAATCAGTCTTTTATCCTTAGCTTATTTTCTTTTGTGGAAATGAAAGGGAATAGTTACTTTATTCAAGAGCTTTCAGAGCATTTATCTTGGATGATTTCTCACTCAGTCTTTTAATTTTAGTGGATTTTAATATTTGCTAATACTGTGGTTCACAGTATGTTTAGTAGATCTGTCCCATCTATCAGCAGAGCCACACAGCAGATCTTGTTTTATTGGCATTTCTGTTAACTTTGAAACTGTTGATATCTGTATCTCTGGCTATTGCATGTGAGTCTACGCTTCGTGCCACATTCCAGCCACAATCCCTTTCTTGTTTCATTATTCCAGCTGCTTTTACTCTTAAGTTTCTGTAGTGCCTTCAAAAATCTAGCATTACACAATCAGGCAGTATCTCATGACTCTCTTTAACATGTCTTGCTCCATTATAATCAACAACATAGCTCCACTTAAATTCCAGAAAACCAACCCTCCTAGCTGAATGAATCTATCTGTGCACTGTTGATTCTGACTCTTGTACTGTTGATGGTTACGCTCGACACCGATTTCCAACTTAGCTTAAAGATAGAACCTTTATTGTCCAAATAGGAAACTGCTCATCATCCTCAGCTTCCATTAACTGTGGCGACCCTCAAGGATCCATTTTAGATCCTTTTTTAATTTTCATTTTATATGCTCCATCTATGTACTCCGGCTTCCTCTTCCTCCCACAGTGCAAAGACATGCCGTTACTGAGATTTGGGTTAATTGGTGGTTCTAAAATGCCCGTAGTTGTGAACGTGAGTGTAAATGTCAGCCTGTTTCTCTGTTAGTCCCGTGTCAGGTTGACGACTTGTTCACGGTGTACCCTGCCTCTCGCCCTGTGTAGCTTCCATCAAGTTTCTCTGTTGCTAGAAAAATAGATGCTGTACTTTATGTCCTCCAATTGGGGAAATGTTCCTAGAAGGTACATAACACAACAGTATAATAAATTGGACACGAATGAAAAGCCAGAAATACAGAATACAAATGAGTGAATTGCTAAAAAAATATAAACTGACTGTTTAGAAAGACTCATTTATCATAAGTATCTACTGTCCCCCAAAGAGAAAAATAAATAATATGACAACAGTTGGACACAGAACAAACCTCGAATCCCTGGGTGATGCTGGAAGTACTGAATGCCCTGTACAAAATGTACTTTAGTCAAAATGTTGAATCTTTTTTTTGAACAAATACATTTGTGAGGAACAGTGTTTATTGACTGAGAGCTAATGAAGTGATGGGCCTCCTGAAAATAAATAAGGATTTTTGTCACCACTGTACACACAGATGGCTTACATAGCTGTGGAAAAGTAACACTCTTGAATATGTACGTGAGCAGGGAGAACGCAGAGGTTAAAGATCATAATCACTACTGTGAAGGATGGTATTATTAATGTAAAGGGCACCTGGATTAATTCGTTCGTTAATGATTATGTCCGAATATAATAACTTAACCACATAATTGTGCAAAGGAAGTAGTGATCTAAAGCCTCGGGGTGGGGGTGTTGAGAGGCATTAAACTATGTCCTTGTTCTAATGAGGCCAAATCCCTGAAGATGAAGTTATTTCACAATCACAGCCACTGTTATTTCAGAGTGTGAGCCTATGGCACAAGAAAAAGCATCAACACAAAGAATACGCTGTTTGTTTTATGACATAGATTTAATATAGCCCAGTGGGTCTGCAGCTAATTTATTAAATGTCAAAAATAATCATCACAAAAAATACGGCATGACTAACAGCACCTTAATTTTGTTCCAAAATAAAGCTTTACTATAATGTAATAAATACAAAACACCAATTTTAAATTAGTACTTTAATTCCAAAAAACATTTGTTAAAATCTAAATCAGAACTCATCAGACTGATCCTCCAGTTTCATTTTTTCACAGTTCATCCTAGGATGAAGATGCAGGGTTACTTGGATGCACACTTGGATGACGCTTCACACGTTTCTATGCTGCCCTCTGCAGGACAGACACTTTAAGGCAACATGACTTTACAAGTTCTGTTAACAGAGCAGGAACAGCACTTCAGATGCATCAATTCTCTGAACCGAAGTCAAAGTTGTCACAGAACAGTAACTGGGATAAGACATTAACGTTGCTAACCAGAACTTTACTTTTAGAACATGCTTTAACATACAGCATGTGTTTCTAAGCAGCAGGTCAATCATAATGATTTCAAGGGTCATCTCATAAAACAGAGAAGCATCCTGAGACAAACTCTGACATGCATCTAATTAGAGAAAACACTAGGATTAAAGAATGCTACAGCAGTTCTTCACAGGCATCTTTATAGATTTAAAAAGAATTGTAAGATATCAAGTGGTTATTGAAAATTTTACTACAGAAGCTCTGAGAAGCCAGTCAGACAGAAATAAAGAAAAAATCCAGTGATTTTTTTAAAAGGGTGGTCTATTTCTTTTTTGTCACTCCTGTGTTAAAGCAACTCATTCTCCTTCCCAAGGCTTCAAATGCAGTCATTTTACATAATACGCACAAAGTGTCCGTTGGCATTGATGTACTGACACACTGATTATGGCATTAGTTGGTGGCTGTCGTTCCCAGCTTGTCACATAAGGATGAACAAACTACTCCTTTCACATCTGAATGTACATGGTAAGTTTTATCCTTGAATGTAGAGTGTTAATGATGTGAAGGGTCATCTTGTAAAAAGTGTGATCATTCCAAAGCAAGTAGTTTTTGATGGTTAGATGTAACCAGTGGGTGATAGCATTTAGAAAAAAAGCAAAAGCTTAGAAATGTATTTTCTTTTGAAATGTGAAGAAGGAAGTGGAAGACACCGAGCTCTGAAATGTGGCACGAACTGCAGTCTCCTGGGTGACAAACTCGTGACTTCTTTCACATCCCCTCTAACCTCAGAAAGCGTATTTTGTCGCCCTTTAAAAGAGGACCCATTATGTCTCAGCACCTAATATCGCCTCAGCCAGTGCATCAAGGGACAGATGCCAAAAGGACACTTTATGGGTATCTCTGCAGCACTAGCAGTAGTGCTTTATCTGACACCTGTGAATGAGAATGTATTGATTTATGACTTAAGAACAGGCAGGAAAAAGAAAAAAAAATGATATTCTATATTTAATATTATTCATATGGGAGAACAGATGAAAGAAAACAGACTGTGTTAGAAGGTAAAACTGTTTTGGGGTTTTTGGGTTGTTTTTTTTTTTTTTTAATCTGCCCCAAATTCACAATGTGTTTGTACAGTACGATTTTTGGTCAAGAGGTTGTCCCTGTGTTTTGAATGGAATATAAACTCTTATGTAAGAATGAGTGCAAAGAACAGTAACACTGATGACTGTATCAGATAAGAAAAGGTGGTGATTTGGACCCATTTTAACTATTTATTTATGAGTGAAGTATGTATGTGTATATATGTATATATTGTACTATTCTTAGTTAGTGTATTGTCTGTCTTGTCTTAATGTTGGTTTAAAATGGAGCACTGTAACAAAAAATAATTTCCCCCAGGGATTAATAAAGTATTCTGATTCTGATTTTACTTCAAGTTAAACCCAACAAACCCCTAACGAGCTATGATGCATTTCTATCCAAAGGAAATTCATAAATGTAATGTTAGAAATGTGCCAACACACAATGTAAGTGCCTCATGTTTATACTAAATGCTGAAATTAACATGAGGGCCTTTAGTTTTATTTATAACATGGAATAGAGATACCTCTAGTGGCCAAAATTAGTACTGCAAAACACTCCCCCCCCCCCTGTAAAATAACAAATTAAGAAAGATTACTCTGGCAAAAGAAATTCCAATTAGTCAAATACAGGAGAGTTAAGACTTTAGATAATGTGCAAAGCCCTCAATTTGCCACGAGGGCTTCTGCACAAAACAGCCTCTATCTTCATTAGGATTTTAACAGCCTCCTCCTCTGGTTCACACTTTCTCCACTAATTTCCTTCTCACTTAGAAAATGCAGCATTAGCAAGACTGGTCCTTATCTTCTCTTGATCTGAGAGTGAAATGCTAACAGAGGAACCAAGTAAAATACAAAATATCTGGTAAACGATAATGTAACTTTAACTTGCGAAAAGTCGATTTCCAGTTCTAAAATATAAATTAATCAACAAGGAAGATAACAAATAAATCAGTACCAAGAGTACAGCCCACATGGTTAACGTTGGTTGGAATGGTTATCATGGAATTACGTAACAGCTTGTTTAGTCATGCTTCAGTAATGGCTTTGGTATTTACTGTTACTGTCTATCAGAGTCACACTGAGGACAAGGCCGTGCTGGGTTTGTTTTTAAGCTTCATAAGTAGATTTTACAATTCTATAAATCCTAAACATGTCTTGGTATAATATGATAACAATCAACGGTTAGAAAAGGACTTATTTAAGCAACAATTATTAATTCAATTATTACAATCACGTACCCATCTGTAGCTAAAATGATCATGGATATCCATTAATTTTATTATCTGTCATTCTAATAACCCATTACAGACCTTTTTGATTAAATCATTTCTAACTAATATCATATCATTAGCATTTATGGATAATCAGAAGAGGATTAGCTCCTTGCTGGAAGTTGGTGCTCCAAATAAAAAAAACAATTTAACTACTAGCTGTAATGTAGAGGTAGAGCTAAAGGAGAGGGAAAGCATACACAAGCCATAACAAACTGTGTGTGTCTTCCTTCCTTCCCTTCTTTCCTTTGATGAACAGCAGAGTGACTGTGGGTGTAGTAATAGGCAGTAAGGATGGCTTAAGAGCGGCTGGTCAGAGGGCAATCAGGAGATGATACGAATGCCAAAGTGTTTCTTGAGCTGCTCAAGGAAGATGAAGGTGAGCACTGTGTGGGGAATCAAGCGGATTCCTGCAGGAACAAGTCCCTGTAAACAAAAGTTACCAAGAGATTACTATTTGCAAGTTTCCTCTAACAAATCTATTCAATTAGAGCTCCTACATGAGATTAGGCAATAAACTAAACAATGCTTTTAATATTTTATTTATTATTTTTGTAAGGGTATTTCTTTTTTCTTATTTTAATTTCATGGAGGTCACAGGTACAGATGAGGCTGTAGATGAAAAATAGCTTCTTGGTGATCTCAGTCATTTGCAGCAATCTTTATTCATCTTTGCTGCCCTGTTGAATAAACTAATACATAAAAATGTTGCAGTTTGTGTTTATGCACAATGCCAACGTCATCAACAATTATCTCCAGCAACAACAAGAATAAGCAGTACTGTCAAAGATTATCTGCCCCCGCATCCACCAGATCTCAGCAACATAATCAATACAAGGCCCTGAAATGATGAAATCCATGGAAGTACAGCAAGTAGAAACCTGAAAGTCTGTCATGTCTCTATATCCTCGGGTAGCAGCCATTGTTAACCTCAGCTGCTGTAGGTCAGTGGTTCTCAAACGGTGGTATGCGTACCACTGGTTGTACATGGGCTCCCTCTAGTGGTACATGGGAAGTATCCCCCCCCAAAAAATACGATTAAATAATATGCCATGTTCTGACTGAGGGATTTCTGAAAAATTTAAAACGTAGACATTTCTGCGGTTGATAAAGTTTATTTCAGGTCATACAACCACCTCTAAAATGTTTGTTTTAAAAGAGAGTAAAATAACTGAAGTGATACATTTAGGTTTTAAATGTATTTTGTTTTGTGTGTCTTTTACCTTGTAAAATGCCAGTGGACCCAGTTTGGCTGTTTCTCGTAAGCAATGCATCACCCCCTGAAGACAGAGACATTAATTAAAACTGAATACCAGCAAATACCAGGATTGAGGGATGAAAGTATGAGAAATTAAAAAGTGATAATGAATGATCCACTCACTGTATACTCTCCTTTTGAATTCATCAGCCTCGTCTTCAGTACGTCTAGAGGCTGACACAGGAATGTAGCACAGCCTCCCTGCAAATGATGTAGATGCAGTTCATATGAGTGAAGATCAATCAACAAAAATGTGAGTGCAAAATGTCTGTGTGATCAGTTATCAAGATCGTGGTAGTCTTGAGAGCTTGGAAAAGGAAGCCACTGAACTTTAACTTGGTGAAGACACTTCACTTCTTGGATGAAGACATTTTGCATCTTAAGATAAAGGCTCGTTCAGTTTTAAAAACTGACAAAACCTAAAAAGTCCACTTACTTATTAAAGCTCTCAAGACTTTATACCAACTGAATTAGACTAAAATAAAACCAGATACTTACCGCAATGAAGCTGGAAAGAAAGTGTGTGAATATGTTATCTCCCATCATGCCTGTTCCTAACACCAGCTGCTTGGCTTGGTCATAACATGCCAACTACAGAAGAAGAAAATAAGAGGAAGAAAATGAGTGTTAGTGTAAAAAAGAAATAATGCGCCCTTTCTGAATTTCCTACAACTTTCGAATTAAATAGTTGGCTGCAATTTGGATTATTTAAAACACCGTTTGCCCAAAAGATAGTGACATCCTAGAATTTAGTTTTACAAAAAACAAACAAACAAGTCCAAAATACAGTCAAAAATGTACATTTTGAGTTTGGCTCCTCCTAGTGGTAGTACAGGAAAAAAAAGACGATGTCAACAGGTGGGAGTGTTGAGTAAAAATATTAAGACAGCTGGCTGTAACAGTTACACAGCGATCAGTCATGCTTGGAGAATGTAATGTAACAAGCACAGCATGTGGTCAAAATATTCTTGCTTTCTTCTTACACTCTATACAACAGAAATGCTGCTTGATGTTTTGCTGCTGCAGACCTTCAATGATCTGTCTCGAACATAAAATGTACTTTATACTCATTTTCTGACTTACAGTTTACATTTTTCTGATTACACTTTTAGAATAATTAGACATGAGCAGTTAGAACAGCGCTACATTGTTTTTTGAATGTTATTTAAGTGAGAGTTACAAACCTTTTCAGCCAGAAAAGAACAAATGGGGTCCACTGTATGACGAAATGTCCTTTTTACCTTGTTACTTTTAATTAAAATAATTCAGAAATGTCTATGGTTGTGCTACTCTGACATTAGAATGCATGCAAATTGCTGGACAAAATTATTTCAAGTATCTAAACAACTATCAAACTTTTCATAGTTACCGATTTTGATTATTCCAACAATTTAAGTCACGTCTGAATAATTCATTTAAAATTTTTGATCAATTAAGCACCAATCTTAACAGTTTTTTTAGTCCCTTGACTGTGAAAGAATATTAATTAAATGCAGTGAAAATACATTTAAACTGAATTTTACATAATACACTCTTCAGATCACGAATTGACTGAATGATTTTAAATACAAATAATGTCCTCTATCAGGAAATAAGAATATCACATCAATAACCCAACAATATTAAAATAAAAAATAAAATAAATGCAAATCGCCCATCATTGACCCGAGAACTATTAAGGTCTCTAACATTTTCAGACATTGTGATAATTGTTTAAAATTGGTATTGTTAAAAAAAAATACAGACAATGTTTCCTGATAGGAAATTGTAGCCTGCGAGCACATTTGTACTACCGTAACTTGCCTGTCCCACAGTAACCATTGCTCCTCTGCTGGAGGCCATGGAGGCTCCTGAAAAGAGTTTCCTGATGCCCTCTGCATGACAGGATAGAAATCAGAAGTCACACGTGATACCTGTGAGAGCTAAACATGGAGCTATAGTATATCCTATTTGGTATTTACCTTCTCTGAAGACTCTAAAAAGTCCATCAATGGCATGTTTGTAGCTGGAGAAAAAAAAAAGCATTAAATTAATAAAAAAAACATTCAAGCTGAACTTTTTAGACTATGAATTACAACACTCACTTTCTCCTCAGTTCTGGTGGTAGTTTCATGTCATTCTGCATCCTAGGGACAAGCACATTTCATACATTCTGATTTCAATAACTAGTGATTGCAGTAATTTGGATACAGAACTGTAACTGTATGTTACCTGACATTCACCATGTCTGCAGGGGTCCCAACAAACCCACCAGTGAAACCTGTTGGCAGAGAAACCTTGTTGGAATGCGTGTTTGTGAAAGCCCGAGTTATAGAAAAAAAGTAACAAAATATTTATGTGCGTGTGTGTGTGTGTGTGTGTGTGTGTGTGTTTTAACTCCATTAAACTTATAAACAGTTGGGTCCTTAGGTAACTGACCACTGACCCAAACTGTAAAAGCAGTTTTCTTCTGTTTCTCAGTGATTTCAAACAATAAAAGCTTTTCTCCTAATACATGTTCCAACCTCCAAAGGCTCCCAGCAGGACCTTCTGGTAAAAAGGCATGGGGCCCTGGTTCGTGCTGCCCATCATGTCCCTCACTGTTTCATAGATGGCAAATCTGGTGAGGGAATATGACATCTGACAAGAGAAAGAAAAGAAAGAAAAAGACAAGAAGAGAAAGAATTCTTTATTTAATTATTGAAAATTTTGTATTCTGGTTCTTTCCCCCCCTTTTTCTTTTCTGTTTTCTTTTGTAAATCGACTAGTACGTACGGACGGACAGACAGACCTACCTACCTAAAGCAAAGCAGTTTTAAAAGCAGCCTTTACATTAGTGAACTTTCATAAATTCTTCATTTATTATGTCCCAAGTAAAATAGTTCAAACCTTTAGTTTGTTTTGTTTTTTTCATTTTCAGGATTCACATAGGACTGATATCAGGCGAGTCAATCAGTAATCACATGGTCAGACCACCATTTAAGAGTTTTGACAGTACAGAGAGGTGCTAAGACCTGTGGGAAAATGATACTGACATCTCCATGAAGTTTGGCAACAGAAGGAAGCATGAAGTCCTCTAAAGTCCTTCTGCTGATAAAACCAAGAGCAACACCAGCAGATGACATGGCACCCCAAACCACCACAGACTGCAGAAACTACACACTGGACTTCAAACACTTTAGATTCTGTCCCTCTGCACTTTCTCCAGACTGTATGACCTTGACATAAAACAAGGAAATAAAATGAAAATCACTTTCATCTGTAAAGAGTATTTTGGACCGTTAAACCAAAGTCCAGCTCTTTTTTCTTTATCCCAAGTAAGATGTTTTTGACACTGTCTCTGGTTCAGGATGAACTGTAGCTCCATTCCTGAAGATGTTTGTCCGTGGTGGCCCTTGATGCATTGACACCAGACTCAGTCCACTCCTTCTGAAGCTTTTCCAAGTTCCTGAAATTACTTTTCCTGGCAATCCTCTCACGGTTGTGGTCATTCAGGCTGCTTGTTGACGTTTTGATACCACACTTTCCCCTTCTAGTCAACTTTCTATTGATCA